TCTTCATTATTTAGGATAAAGTTTAAAAATTAGTCAGGAAAAAAAATCAAGCATAGTGAGGCACACCTATAATCCTAGCAGTCAGGAGGCCGAGGTAAAACGATTGCAGCAAGCCTCCCACATTTCCTCTGCAGTCTGGGGTACATAGCAAGCAGTAAAAAAAAAAAAAAAAAAAAAATTTAACACAGAAGTTATGATAGCAAATTTATGGTTTATTTTAAATGCTGACCAACTTTTTTACTGATCAGTCCTTCTCTTTAGGTTCTGTTTCAGCTCTGGGTGGCGCAGAGCTCTGAGTTCTTTCGGCGCTTGGCCTTGTTACTTTCCACTGCCAACTCGCCTCCGGGGCCCGAGCTGAGCCCGGGGCGCCTGCCGCTCGGCCTTCTGTCCGAGGTGACGCGGGGCCTGCCCGATGCACACGCCGCCTGCCTGGAAGAGCTGAGGCGCAGCTACGAGTTCCACCGTCACTTCGAGACGCAGCGCCGCTCGGCGCCTCCACGTCCCTCCTGTGCCCAGCAGAAGTCCCGGGAGCTGAGCAGCGTCCACACGGCAGTGCGCAGCCTGCAGCTCCACCTGAAGGCGCTGCTCAATGAGTAAGTTCTGGCCCAGTCGGTCACGTCCCCTGCTCGAGCCAGCGGGCATCCTTCTTGTTGCCCTTAGGGCTGAGGTTTGTGTCCTGGCTAGCGGGAAGAGACAGAATTGAGACCTGCAGCCTGGAGGATGGTTTAGAGCTACAAGTGTAGCGGAGAGACTGCGATTTGTAAGTACTGTGCAGTTGTGGAGAGTCCTTTTTTTTTTGTTTTTCTCGATTTCAACAGAAAACCTAAAAGACAGGGTGAAAGCAGATGTTGTTCATTGTCCAGAACTGAAATGGAAAAGGTTAAGAAAGAGATTCTTACCGGGCTTGGTGGTGCACACCTGTGATCCCAGCACTCAGAAAGCTGTGGCAGGAGGATCCCGACGAGTCCGAGGCCAGCATGGGCTACGTAGCAGTACCCTGTCTCAAAAACCATAAATAAATACTTACGTTAAACCACATGAGTTACACCATTGCTTGGGACTGTGTTGCTGGTGCCTACGTGAGGGCATTAGCCACTGACCCTGCTGCCTGGCCAGGTTATGGTCACTGAGGTTTACATTTGATTTCTCATTGTATCTGAAAGTCTCTGGCTTCCAAGGAGAGCACTTTACGCTGGGCATAGTGGCACATACCTGTAATCCCAGTGCTCGGGAGGCTAAGGCAGGAGAATGCTTGTGAGTTTGAGACCAGCCTGGGCTACAAAGTGAGCTCAAGGCCAGCCTGAACTGCATAGTGAGACCCTGTTTCAAACAAACCAAAAAAAAAAAAAAACAAAACGAGAGGAGTTCAGACTAAAGTGTATGATGCCAGAGATTTAGCTCAGTGGCACAGCATCTGCCTAGACTAAAATGTGTACAAATATTCCATAATGGTGGCCCTGGCAGGCATGGTGGCACACGCCTTTAATCCCAGCACTCAGGAGGCTGAGGCAGGAGGATCACTGTGAGGTCAAGGCCAGCCTGAATTACATAGCAAAACCTCCTCTCAAAAGACAAAAAAAAAAGGGTGCCCTTGCAGCCAAACATGGTGATACACACCTATAATCCCAGCACTTGGGAGGCTGAGGCCACAGGATCTTAGTGAGTCTGAGGCTAGGCCCAGCCACGTAGTGAATTCAAGGCCAGCCTTGTCCCAGTGAGGGTGAGGTGGTGATGCCAGCACCTGACTGCAGTGTGAGTTTCTATCTATGTCTCACTCTCCTTCGTGAGCCCCGCCAAACTGTCCCAGGCCTTTCCCATGTACCCTCTGCAGTGACCTCCCTCCTGTGTGCAGGCAGCACTACCCCAAAAGTGCCTCTTCCTTAGCCACTCCCTGTCCATACATGTGCCTGCAGAAAATCTGAATTCCCATAATTGTCAGTATCTGCTTGTGATGCTCTTCTTTTGGGCCTGGACTCAGCCCAACTGTACCAGCTTTATGACTCTGGACAAGTGTTGTTTTGTTTTGTTTTTTCTCCTTGAATTTAATTCCTTACTTGTAAAATAAAACGTTATATCTGGGCATGGTGGTACATGCCTGTAATCCCTATACTCAGGAGGGATTGTTGTGAGTTCAAAGCCAGCCTGGGCTACAAAGGGAGCTCAAGGCCAGCCTGAACTGCATAG